ACAAAATGACAAAAATGTCAGCAGGGGATCACGCGATATTAGCAGAAACTATGTTATCAGAAAATATGTTTGCATGCCGCTAGGTAAAAACTGCAAACTTTTTAAAATCGCTCTCTGAAGGACGCCAATCACGATAACCACGGTCCAGAAAGTGATTATGATTACCAATCACGATCGTGATTGCGCGTAATTGAATATACAATTACGATCGTGATTGGTTAACCATGGTTGGACGAAGAAAACGCAACCCAGATACTTCATTTGCCAAATGTGATAAAGCACATTAAATTCATCGTATTCGCTAGGTCAAACATAATGATTTCATCGTTACCTGTGGGTACCTTCTTCATAACCGAAATAAATATCTGTTGTTTTTGTCTCTCAGAATCCAACTTCACCCTAGGGAGAGCCGTATGGATGACGTGGGGTATTCTCTTCAACAACTCCGTGCCTGCCAAGGTACCGCGCAGTTACACGGGTAAATTCATGACCAATATGTGGGCATCCTTCGCACTAGTTTTCGTTGCTATGTACACTGGCAACCTGGCAGCGCACATGATTCACGAGGAAAGGCACGAGAAAATCACCGGTATTAACGATACTAAGGTAATGAAAGAACTCACATGACGTCATAATTTGTCTAAATGCCCTGAAGTCAAACATTATAAAAGTATAAGACGGTGGATTATTTCCAGAGATTATTTTTTAGAACTTTCCATTTCTTTATTTCAGATACAGCATCCCGATCTGATAGACCCACCGTTCAAGTTCGGCACGGTGCAACATACCAGCGTGGAGCGCCTAATAATGAAAACCTATCCAGAAATGTACAAATATATGAAAGACTACGTGCAGCCATCGGCGGTAGATGCAGCGGCTGCACTGGAAGCAGGGTAAGGATGTGTCCTTTCACTAACCATGGATCTCTTGATCATCTAGACTTGCATCGGATGCCGGAGAGGATTGCTCAGTGCAGTCTATCACTCAGTGGTGGTGTTGAAACCCCATCAGGTCATCTCACCACCATAAGGGGTCGAACCATCGAATTCACGGCGGCGGCGGCTGTAAGATTTGTCGGGTGGGGTGCGGAGAACAGTCACGTAACGATCGGTTCGATTTTCGTCTTAACAAACAATGCATTATACTTGTGTTTATAGAGTGCACGCTAACCATATCGAAAGCCGCGACGACTACCATTAATGTTTTTACTTATACAATGATATGTATTGTCCATACTTGAACACCAACTTCAAGTTGAAGCACAGCCACGATTCACGGCAAATAAGGTTAATGACGTATACATGCATATATTTGTTACAACATTTCAGAATCATCGATGCCTTTGTTTATGACTCAGCAGTTTTAGAAAACTTGGAAGATAAAGACCCTTCGTGCAATCTTGTAATGGTAGGCAAGGTTTACGGATCAACTGGATTTGCCGTGGCATTCAGTCGAGGTTCGCCATGGAAAGCGCAATTCGACAAGACTTTGCTTCTCTACGATGATTTGGGTATGCGTTTGTTTGTGCAATATGACGATTAATATTTTTATCAGTTTTTTTGTTTTTTTGATGAAATCATGTAAAAGAAAAAAATAAATAGCATCGTTCGTTTATTCGAAAGAAAAAAAAGTTATCACAAATATGAACACTTGGTGGCGTGCATTCTGATCCAACCCATTTCTTGTTTTTGTCCGTTTACAGGTGTTCTTGACAAGCTTCGTTTTAAGTGGATCGAAGGGGTGTGTACAAATAAAAACCTAAGAAAAGAAAGTAGTAGGCCTCTCAATGTGACTAATTTCGCTGGTGCTTTTTATCTGCTAATAGCCACTGTGATGATTAGCTTCATGATATTTATGTGTGAATTCTCGTGCAATAAACGCTTGCCAAGGTGTTGTGCCGGACGCACGAAGAACATGAACTTTCTGACTTTGATTAGTGAGGTATGTCAACTAACCAGAATGTAATCGACATTACTTCCATAGTCACTTGATTAACAAATATATTATCAATATCGCACTACGTTTCAAGTATGGTTCGTGTTTCTTGTTTTGTTTTGTTTTTACTTTACTTCGACGATCATGACTTTCTGTGTTCAGAATTTAGACGTAGCTAGATTAAAAAGCGAACATTTAGCAATTACTAGTACAGACATACGTGTATTCGACGCTTCTGGTTGATTGTATGATTCTTTCCAATATCACACTTAAAGCGGGAGAGTCGTCACCTGCGCATGCGTCAGATGGCCACAGCCATACAAACAACCGTCTACCCATGAGTCTTTGCGTTTTTAGCGTGTGTTATTGTCGCTTGGGACTCAATTCCCGTGCGTGCGCACGTGACAACCCTCCCGCTTTAATATAAGGCAGTTTTAAAAATCCGGCAATGATTCGAAAACAATTTATTGTGTGTTTATGTACATAGTATTTCAGCGTCCCATAAAACAAAACCTTATGGAAATCCAAGTACACTACTAATGTTCAGTTCTGATTACTAGTATTTCCGCAATAATATTATATTTTCACTCACTGATTGATGTCTTGAGAGTGTAAATAATAATCTCCATGCGGATACGGAAAGTCGACATTATAATAACTCTATCTCCCATTGTTGTCAACTCCTCCAGCAAACAACGAGCTTATTGGGCGCTCAAGACGACGAAGACGAGCGAATACGAAGACAACAACGAAAGTGTAGAAGTGATCTATGCAAAGACGTGAGAGGAAAATTAGAAGAGACGGAAAAAAGAATCCAAGAACTGGAAGAACGATTGAATGACAAGTATGTGACCGTTTTTCATTTTGCTTTTAAACAAATGTTGTTGTTGTTTTTTTAATACTCAATAAAAAAAAAACATTTTTGTAATAAATGTAATCAATAATTATTTAACAGAGTCCAAGTCAATGCGAATCCACTTACAAAATCGTGCCTGATTGGCTATCTAACCATTACACCTAACAGTTTGACCAATCAGAGAGCAGCTTGTTTGTTGATGGGTTTTATCAACGTATCAACTTCTGCCTTATATATACGCTTCGACTCAAACGGAAAACCTAACCCCCTAAATATCACTGTGTTGCGCGACTATTGGTGGTTGTTGTACATGTTTGGTGAATAAAGTATTAATACTGTATAAAACTGTTCAATCAAAACGAGAGATGGACGCCGCATCGCCGCAATCTATGATTCAATTTGCTTGCCCGGTGTAAACACATGTTGGTACAGATCTTGATTTTTAAGAGCATGGGATCTGTATCTCTTGTGTGACAAAGAAATTTTTCTATGAAAGTCAGATTTTTAATAACTTGCATACTACGTGCTCGTCGGTGGACAATGCCTTTTATGCATTCATCTGAAAATGCTTGAATTTATAGTAAATACGTTTCCATGATTGTTTGAAGTTTAAAGGGCGGCAGTCGACGCGCCGCGTCCTGTTCGTTATGGGACTCATAGCGACGTATAATAACGTGTAAAATACATTGTTTATTTACATGAAATTCGAACACGCGCTGCGTGACGACCACCGCGCTTTAAGCCGATCGACTCCTCCTTCTCCTCTCCATGTTTCACTGCCATCCCTCCCCCAGTAGTGTAAAATCATTGCTGATATGCTGTACTTTGTTTTTTTTACCAGAGGAAACGGTGCCATCATCAACCGTCGCCATGGATCCCTAGCTAGCAGCATCTTTAAATATTCTGATATTGACGACCTGGACTCTGTTTCATACGATACAAGTGCCGCTGTACAGTTTCACGAGTCTTCCGTATAGCTGTCAGGAAACAGTGATGGTTTGAGTACCCGGTGTTGTACGGGGGAAGACAGTTTGCTGTTTAACAGCACTCGCTACTGGTGGTTGCTTTGTGTCTGACCAACACGTGGCAGACTGGGAAGAGCCTGTTTTTGCGTGTTACCAAGAAGAAGGTATTGGTGTTTGGCAGCGTTGCAGTTTTAGCTCAACCTCAATTTGCGGAGGCCCGGAGCGCCATTGTTATATATGCTGTTGTGTTCAACAAATTGCCAACATCACGAAATCTAGATTTGTAAGCGATCCATTTCAGAAAAAGCTATTTTACCGCGATGTAGGACGACCATGTTCCGCACAATCGACGAAGTGTTCGGCTGATTTTCCATGTTTCCTTTGCGTAGTAGAAACGATTCGAACTTGCGGCATGTGAACTGATAAGGCGGTGGAGCGATGCCGTAATTATTCATAGGACGTCCGTTTATTGCGGTAATCGCCAGTAGGTTTTCCAAGCCGGTTTATAGGAACCTATCCTCATCTGAAAAACAGAATGTGGATTTGTCTTTGTGGCAAAGATGGTCGTATAATCGCCGTTTTTGACGGTCACCGTAGGTGTTAACCCTATGGACAATAAATAATAACAAAATAATTACTACATACCAGTTCTAATGTGTTTTTTTTTTTCAAATTGAAACTGTTTTAGGAAAAGAAACAACATGGTAATTTTACTTCTAGAATATCGAGATTGTCAGGTTTTTACATGAAAACAATTTATATATAGCGGCTGAGGAAACTTATTGCAACCACATGATGGGGTGATCCACAATCCAATTTCAGCAGCCTCGTTCGAAACGAGGCTCTGGAATATAATTTAAAAATCCGACTTAAGATCTTCGTCGATCGATATGGTGCAACAAAAAGCTGCTGACTAATTTCGAACATAACTTCGAATAATGCGTTATCTTATTTGCATACGATCAAACATAGCAATACAGTCGACCAATTAAACCAATATGGTAGTAATTAACGTCATAATCAGTACTTAATAGTAATGTAAGAATGGGTGATGAATGAATTAATAAAGAATTGTTTTTTTGTTTTCTTTCTAATAATAAGTTTGTCGGCGTTCATATTGTATGACGTCACGGTCATCATTTGTTCTATTAGTTTCAGGACATCCGGGTTTGTTTCACCGAGGTACTAGTAATATAATAAATGGACAACAGAAGCATAACTGACATACTCCTGATTTCAAAATTCAGCATATATATGAAGAAAATGTGTCAGGTGGGCGAATACTCGTTCCGTAAAAATTCCCGGGGGTATTACCCTATCAAAATTATAGGGGTGTGCCGCCAGTACCCACGACCTCTAACCGTTTCCCTCTTAGACTATGATTGTTTTGTTTTTTACAGAAAGGTATATTTTCACCACCTGAATGAGAAAAACTGATCCATTTGGCGGCACATGCAGGTTTACAATGAACCTCTCCCTCCCCACTCCCAGGATACAATGAGGCAATGTGTACCAAGCCATTATGGTATATATTGTACCCCTGACGTCTTGAAATGGGTAATAAGTGTTCTATATCTTGTAAGCTGTCCGTTTTGGGCATGGTATACGAAATCAAAATACCAACAACTCAGAATATGCTAAAATTGACAACTTTGATCGTCCACTCGCCAGCATTTGGTTAAAGGGCAGTGGGCGTCGTGCTGCGCATGTGCGACATTTGTGTTGATAAACATTGATTTTCCCACAATCCAATGCGCTCTTCTAATGGAATCACAAGTATGAGGTTTGACCTTTGTGTGACTTGCACTAATTACCACCTGGGACTTCTTCGATACCTTCCAATCACATAAAAAAAATACTATATTAAAGCTCGGTAACGTCCCAGTTTATACTGCGCTACAGTCAAAGTCGGCATCTTTGTTTATGTGAGACCCAAATATCTCGCGCATGCGCCACGGGCGCTATCTAATACCAAATTTCACACAATAACATTTTACATTTTTCTAAATTCCACCCAGAGATCTTATATCGAGGAGTATATTTCCTTTAAATTAATGAATATGAAGCCATATTTAAGTTGAATTACTAGTATTCAAC